TGGGGGGCTCCGCGCATTGTGCGCCGAGGGACGTGCATTTGAAAAAAGTGTTCGTTAAAGGGGGGGTGTTCGTTAATACCCTGGTTTACTCTAATGAGGACCTTCTAGCCTCGCTCTGCTCAACATTCCTTGGTGGATATATTAGGAGAAACAATATATATATATATATATATGGCTACGAACATAATGGGGAGCAACGTAGAATATGTCCTGAGTGACCAGCCTTCTTCGCTGTGTCCACATTTTATGGAGCGTGTTAAATCCAAACACCCAATTGGGTCCATCCAATGTGGGTCCTCAATTTAAGTGACAATAATAAACGTTATCACACGGCCTATCGACCCACACTTGGTGGGTTGGTTGTGTAGTGGCCATGCCCACACCCGAAGCTAGGTTGTTGTGCAGTGGGTACGCCAGGTCACTGTACGGAACTCCTGGATCGCGCTTCGAGCTCAACAGACTGGCGTATACACGCCTTGAATCATTGCTATTATAGGACCCTACCACACTGCTGTACTACAGTTGTAACTGACTGGACAGCTGGGTTGTTGGCAATGGTATATGACAAAATCAACTAAGCTTTAGTTGTTATTGTCATACACCATCGGCTGTTGGCCTACATCGTAGGGGTTCCGTACAATAGTTCATCTGCAATACCACGTATTATTCTCGATCGGGGAGCCCCCTGCGGCGCAAATCTCCGGCTGCACACTGCACACACCGCACAGCGCGGTGCAGCAGAGTAGAGATAAAAGCGCTCTCTCTTAGCTCTCCTGCAGGTCGAATGGGCAGTGGCCATGGATTCTTCTACAAGGCGACGGGCTGACTCTTTGCATCACAAGCAGGGCGCCCAACAGGGCTCTCCGCAGGACCGGTGCAGGGTAACCTGTGCGTTGCAGCGCAACACGTTTTTGCCGGGGGAGCACGTTCGCGGCACAATCAAGTTTGGCGTTTCGTCCGAGGATCAAGACGGCGTGGACATCGAGGAGGTACGGTCAGAGAGGCTAGAGGGGATCAATACGCGGTGGAAATGTGGATGGCTTTCAGGTCTTTCTCCCGGCCGCAGTGTTTCCGCTTAGCAGTTGGCCGCAGTGTTCTGCGATGTGACGTAGAGAGACAGCAGTCTGGAGTCGTCGCAGAGAATCCTTTCCACTTGCCACAACCACATGCTGTACATGTACAGCAGTCGACCCAGCTTTAAAGACACACCACGTTTTCCCAAAAAAAAATGGCTTTAACGCGGGGAATTGTCTTTATGATTCCGGGGCCACTAACGCACCATCCCCGGGGCTAATGAAGGCGAAACATATGTCAGAAGGTGCGCATTCGCAGCAGAAAGGCGACCACAAGAGGTGTTGTTTGAAACCTACGACACGAGATGATTTGAAGGTCGCAACCACTTGCTACTATTGTGCTGCAATACATACTTGCATACCATCGTTTGAATTTCCCCGTACTGTACCACCAAAACGCTGAAAGCGATGGTGTTCTTCGACCTACGCATCGAACATGTACACGGCGGTAGTGCGCTGGTGTTGATATGGGCTCGCCCGCACGGACACTGATGAGCCAGTGACACCAGTGCAGATTTGAACTGGCACGTCGGTTCGCCGCATGGCTCCAAGCCGGCAGCAGACGAACCGCTAGCAGATGGAATGAATCTTTCCATACACCCACACGCAGTGTGCGGCTGCAGCAGACCGCTGTTGATGATCCAGGATCTACAGGGGCTGCAGCACATTTTCTGGGGGGGGGTCGAATGGTGGAAAACCCTACCCGCCTTACTTTTTCACATCTGCGGGGCATCATGTTTCTGAGATTTTTTGTGTCCTTAAAGCGGGGAGTGTCTTGAAAAATAGCGTCTTTAAAGCGGGGACGACTGTAGATTGTATGAAGATACGGCGGCAATACTGCTGTATGTATGTACGTGCTTGTTCTCATGCTTGGATTCGGCAGTGGGTTTTGGCGATTCCACTGAGTATGTGTACTTGTGATTCTTCTCTTTCTGAGAGTTGGCACTGGTTCCAAACGATTTGCGTACCGTATATGACACAAGATAACACACCCCCTGGACCGATTTTCAAAGCTCGATTTCTCCACGACGAAGAGGATGCGTCAACGAAACGATATATTTTCGAAAAGCTCTCGACGAGACGGTTTCAACGCCGCCGTTTTCGGCGCTGTGACTGTTCCTGCAGTTGAGAAATCGAGCTTCGAAAATTGGTCAAGGGGGTGTGTTATCTTGTGTCGTATACGGTATGTTCTTGTTGCAAAGGGTTCATTGACAGCAAAACGACGAAAATGCCACCCCGCTTCGATTGCAACCTTTCAAGACGGCCAGCAGACCCGGGAACCCCCTCGCTCGCTTGCTCGCTCGTCACTGGCGCTCTCATATCTATCCTGTCTCGCCGTCTGCACGTTCCATCAGCGTGTTCCGTGAGGGTTCATGTGCGAGCTATGGTCATCAAGAATCCCTTTGCAGTGCATCCCTACCGCAGCTTTTGAAGCATTGCGCAATCATCGAGGTTCAGGAGCCGAAATTAGCCGTTAAGCCTACCAGTACAGCACAGCAGTATTTAGTCGTCTGATCGAGCTCTAGAAGCGTAATCTTGTCGATTATGTTACCCACTGGGGAGATGTCGCTTCATGCTGCTCGGGAAAAGGTAGATGAAGTGCAAGCTGGCCACCGTACAACACTTTCAATTCGGTACTAATCTGCGACGGACTCTTCACCAGGGGAAGAGATGATATTTTGTTGTGATTTTACGAATTGACCCGTTAAAAAAACGTTAGACTCTAAGCCAGCGCTTGACTACGGCAGTACTTGGTCCAATGGTTTTGGTCCGGCTTCATAAAATAGAAGCTGGTGGCGGGCTCCGAATGGCCCAACACTTATTTGGGCTCCTTGACCCCTTTAGGGCTAGATCGACTTCTGGGGCCATATTTTGGCCCCATCTTCTTCACTTGCTTTACCTCGCGAAGAATGGCATGATTTTCTCCTCCTTTGAACTACTCGACCAGGGGGATGCCGGGGTACACGGGGACGACTCTAGTCTAGTATGGATGCTTTATAGAGTGGAGGAGTACGAGGGTAATGAACAGGTCGAATCGCGGGACGAGTACGCCTCGGGTTCAACAGCGAAGCTGCGCCGCGTCTGTCTACCCTTGGGTGGCAAGCGCTACCGGGGGCAAGCGCGGAAGAAGTACCTCGCTCACCGTTGATAGGAGGCACAGGGCAACCTAGGGTTAGAAGGTCTCGCTTTCCCTTCAGAGAAATATCTTGAAAACTTCCTTTTCGTGCCCCGTTTACCACTCTCCCGCCAAATGTTGGCTATAATCCCTATCAAATGGTCCCTCGACTATCGAGGGGCCATTTGATAGGGATTTTAGACAAGAGACAGCTGAAGGGGCCTTTTGATAGGGATTTCAGACAAGAAACGGCTCAAGTGGGAAGGAAGCTTTGCACTTGCACCCAGAGATGGAACTGTCTGCACTATCCAATCAGCAGGCTTCGTTCGCTCTTTTTCTCACATGTCAGAAATTTCGCAAGAACGCCGAATTTTCTGTGCGTGATATGCTCTCCAAACAAGAGCAATGCAGTCGGGTGGTGTCGGAAACCCCTGTTTGTCAAGAGTTGGAAGATCCGCCCGGGGGACTACAGTTAGCTACTGCTGTATTGTGCTGCTGTAGTTACGTCTGTATATTTTTCTTTGTGATCGGGGGAGAGTTTCTTCGCCTGCTGCCGGTCTGCAGAGTTCTTCGCATCGCTACCGCACTCCTGGTTCAGGCACCGGTGCTTTCGGTCCAAGAGCGTCGCCATCACTCACCTTTCTAGAAGTATGCTGCATTCTGTTTATCGCACAGACTCAGCTCTGGACGTCGCTGCAGCACATGCGTATACACAGATGCCGCTCCGGCTCGTGTATGTACGTACCTGTACCCTCCTTTTTGCAAACGAGTTAAACTTGTGTGTGTGCACCACATGCTTTGTGCCTTTTTTTGTTGTACGTCAGGCGACGGTGCAAGCGCACGGCTACGTGAAGGTTGACCCGAGATGGATCGCGCTTCCCACCTCCCTTCGTAGACTCTTTCGCCAGGAAGAAGGTAGTGGTGGAGGTGCTTCTGCTGCTGACGGCGACAGAAAACCGGTGGATCAGGCTTTTCCGATCCCAAGGTGTGCGAGATCGTTTTCTGCGTCTACCTGCGTGCTATCCCCGCCGCAGAACAGCAGCGGCGTTTGGTTTTTGATCAGGCGTGTAGCGGTTGGCGATCGGTCGCCTGGACTGTATCACTGTTTTCTGCGAGAGGTGGAGAGGTGGCGCACTTCCCAAAACTGAATTTCAACGCTCGATAGCTGCACGACCAAGCGGGTGCGATAAAGAGCCCGGTACGTCTACGAAAAGCCCTCGACGAGAAGTTCCCGAAATAACCATTTTTGGTGTTGGCACAACCTTGGTTGTGGAGCGATCGAGCTTTGAAAATCGGTCTTTGGGGGGGAGTGTCATATCTCCGCCTCTTACGGTATACCACGGCACGGCATACGGTACGGTACAGACAATCGTGGTTGTGGAACGATCGAGCTTTGAATGTCGGTCTTGGGGGGGGGAATGCCATCTCTCCTCCTGTTGCGGTGTTGTTGTTACCGTCGTTAGCGGTGATGGTGTGAGTGTCACTGCCTCCGCGCTGCTACACTACCGCGCTTGTTGGGGGATACCACGAGTTGGGCGGCGTCACACCGTTACTGTGTTCGGCATCCTCGGGTTTTTTTCGGGCGTCCCGGCGCAGAGTGCGCCTCGCCCTTCCGTTTCGTTCTTGTTTTCCACTTGTTTCACCATTGCAGGGTTTTGCCAGAATCAGGGCCAAGAAAAAAAACTCTTGATGTGATGGCTTTGTTTTGTTCCTTCCGAAGACAGCATCCGCGCCACAAGACGCGCCTTTTGGTCTACGAGACAAAACATTCGCGCCAGAAAACGCCTAGTTTGTTTTTTTGACGCACCGATGCAGGTACAGCGGTCTCACGGACGACCGATCTGCGTGCGTCTTTGCCTCGGAGGTCGCCGTCCTCCTTAAGCAGGAGAGGGTGGACGGCGGCAGGCACCCGACCTCCTTCCGGTTCAGCTTCGTGCTTCCCGAGAATCTCACGCCCACGTTCCGGGTGAGAGAGATTTATTTTTTTGCTAGGTCGTGTGTCGTGACGCCGTGCTTTCGCTTCGCGAGGTCGCGCGACAGACGCTCGTTCTTCTTTTTTTCTTGACAAGTGGTGGTGGGGGGCATATCGGTGCCCCGACCCCTCTTCCCCGAGCCTCCTCCAGCAAGAAATCACCAACAGCACCACTAGATCACGCCTTATTTCTTCCTCTGGACCATATATTATATGAACGCGGGTGGCAGGGCGTCGGAGTCCGGTACGCGTACGCGGTCACCGTGCGCGTCCGGCGATCGCTCCCGCCCCCGCCGGCGGCTGGCCGCCTCCTCGGCTTGGTGCGAAGAAGACCCGCCGCGGGGTCCTCGGCCTCCGCCGGGTTTTCCACGACGGACGTCCACGTGTCGTTTACGGTTCTCTCTCGCGGGGCCCCCGCGTTTGACGGCGTCAAGGGCACCGCGGACGGGANTCGGCCTCCGCCGGGTTTTCCACGACGGACGTCCACGTGTCGTTTACGGTTCTCTCTCGCGGGGCCCCCGCGTTTGACGGCGTCAAGGGCACCGCGGACGGGATTGGCGACGGGGTTAGTTGGGGGAGGGTGGCGTTCACTGAGCTGGAAGCGGAGCGGCAATCTGGGGATGCGTTCGAGATGGAGGCGGACAGGGCGAAGGGGGGCGGGCTTGTGTCGGGGACCCGAGCAGTCACCTGGAACATGCAGGTGGGTGTAGGGCACGTGAGCCTCTGTGTAGTTTTGGCGCGCCGTCGTGGCATGTGCTGTGAAGAGGGGCGCAGGAGGTTACGCCTCGTCGCAAGAGGGGTGTAGTCGGGGAGAGGGTTAGTTTTTGAACATTCGCGCACAATCACGGAAACACGGAATATTACCGCAGTCGAAAGGGGTGCTTTCAAGTCCTTGCAGTTCGTGGTAGAAGAAACGGCTGGACGCTGGGGGTATTTTAAATCTGGTTGTACGTACACACGTAATTGTAGTGATGCCAGCTGGTTGTACTCTTTGTTGGTTTTGTGGGTTGATCGTGATATATACAGGAGGTTGATGTGGCTCGTGGTTTATGACCCCGCGGAGCTCCATCGTACCTTCCAATCCTCGATGCACGAAGGCAAAGCAGCTGACCCTCGGCACGGCGCATGCGGTCGACGACAACTCGGAAGCCGTGGTGATGCGTGTTTTTGAACGGACCCATTGTCGCTTTCGCTCTCCCGCTCTCCCGCGATCTCTCCTCTCCTCTCTCTCCCTCCCGCGATCTCCCTCTCCTCTTCCGTTTTTTTGTCTTTCACCCTGACGATAGAGACGCCGTTTCGAAGAACTTCATCACCTGCTTGTGTCTTTCCATCATTTCGCCTCTTTCATTGTACTCTGTGTAGTAAAGTAACCATCAGCACCCCCCCCCCCCCCCCCCC